GGTGACATTGGATCCAGACTCGACTTTTGGGGCTTCAGACATGGCAACGAGGGATTATTTGGGATTGGTGACAAAGACTTGGTGTTGACGACATTCCCATCTCTCTCCCTCCTTTCGTCTGATTCCTTCCTCTTCGTCTGTGTATGTCTGGACCTGGCGCTTTCTTCCTGTGTACAGCGCCAGGCTCCTTCACACCTGGTGAGGGATACGATGTATGTTTGGTCTGAGTTCAAACATTGATTGGGCTAGTTATTAGCATTCTAGCGTTCTGCTTCGCTACTTTGTACTACGTGAGTGAGGTCAGTCCCGGTCAGGTCAGTCTTTGTATTTAAGTCTTCCCTGCGCTATTCAGCACCATTATGTATGTATGAGAATGCACATTGCTTGTCGAGATTCTATTCGCACCGCATTGTCCATTCAGTCCTTTTCATCACATTGCAGATCCTCGGTTATTGCGTACATTGCATATCTGTGCATGTAACAGCAGCCTGGCTATGAAGGGCTGAGCTAGCCGGGCTGCGCTATGGCGCTGCCTGCTTGCAGCACCCTACCATTAGCGACCGCGCTCGTCCGAGTGCCCGAATGCCTTCATGGCGAGTCTGATTGTTCCGTACATATCTTTTTTCTTTTTCGCCATGATGCTTCCATAACTTCTCTGTGAATTTTCATTGTGCCTCTGTGTGATTCTGATTGTTAAACATCCTGATTTTCATCACTGTACATTGTGCCCTACAAGAGGGAGAGGTTATGCGTACAGGTATAGTGGCATAGGGTTGCAGGGATGCTTGGGAAGCCAAATGTTTGAAAGCATGCTCAAAGCATGTGGACTCCGATTCCCTCAGCGCGATGGCAATGGTTCTGCCAACTGTCCAATCACAATCGTAGTTCTGTGCATTTTAGTATGGGGCCCCAGGGCTTGCATATGCCGATCGCGTCCAAAAGCCATCAACGCGTGATGCTGACTTTTGTAGAACCAGATGCTGTGCCTGGGCAGCCTTTCGCAGAGAAAGGAGGCCTGCGGTTCAAGCCTGGAGTTTGTAGAACTGAGCTGTGGATTGCACATTGACGACTGGGAAAGAGCAGAAAGCTCATTCAGGCCTGGAGTTTGGCCGTGCTTAAAAATGACACTTGCAACAGACCCAGCACCCCTGTATGCCCATAGAAGAAATACAAGACAAGGCCATGCTAAGGCCATAAAGCACAGAAGAATGAATGGCAAAATATGTCCGGAACGAAAAAAAAGTGAAGTTCACAAAAACTTCTACGGATAGTGACAGACTGTCTGTTGGACTTGCACCCGCTGATCAGGAGGCTGAATCTTCAGCAATCTGTGGAATGACCATATTGATGCTTTGAGTCATGGACACTTTAACCCCTGTTGAAAGTGGCTGGCCCACAGGCAACACCACAAGCGGAACATGGCAGCAAGGCAACGACTCACTGAAGCACCAGGCAACAACTCTCCGAAGCGCCAGGCAACGCTAATGGGGCAGCCCAACTACACAACACGAAAGCTAACTGCATGGACGAACAGCGCAAGTGGACGGGCAGCAAGGCAACAACACAGTGAAGCACAAGGCAGTGCTGACAAAGCAGCCAAACTACATGGTACACAAACCAAGTGCACGGAAAGACGAGACATGCAGATGGAGAGCAAGGCAACAATGCAGCAAGGCACAAACCAGCACTGACAACACAACCAACTCCGTGCAGGGAAAGACCTGGCAATCGGGTGGGCAGCAAGGCAGCAGAGCAGCACAATCAAGGTGGTCCACGCAGCCAATACAACCCAAAGTAATCCCTTATCGACTCGGACCACAAATACGGACCCACAGATCATTGGTCTCGACCACCCTCTGAGCACGGAAGCCACTCTAATGAACATCTCTCCTCACCCATGGAAGATGCACTCACAGACATGATGAACAGAGTGGCTCTCCTAATGCTGTTGTAGACACTCCAAAAAGCCGTTCACTAACTTCATTGACTATTTGGCACTTCTTAGAGGTGCTCATTAAATGGCCAGAAAATACTCAGAATGAAAAGGAAGGAAGGAAGACATGGTGATGTGTGTGTGTGTGTGTGTGTGTGTGTGTGTGTGTGTGTGTGTGTGTGTGTGTGTGTGTGTGTGTGAG